GAGAGGCCCACATACCGCAAAAAAAAAAAAAAGGCGGGGGGGCAATCAGGCCAGACAGAGAAGTGTCAGTGTAAAAATGTATACTGCGTCCAAATCTTGGTGCCTCCATCTTCTGGCCATGGAATGGCTGTAGCTCTTTGCACAAGTTTCCAAGGAGGAGGAACAGGGAGGCGGCATCACACCAGGATCAGCAGAGGCCTGATCTGGGCAAGGTGGCTGCAGCGTGGGAGACCTCCGGCTGGTCATTCAGCCACGCGGCCACCATTTTCTCCCGCATCCATCCACCAAGCCACCAAGCACACAGTGCGACATCCACCATTCCAGGCACACCTCGCCAGTGGGAGCAGAAACCCCCAAACCCCGCGCCCCCAGTTTAGTTAATCTTAAGGCAGGGGTGGGATAGTTATAGTCTTAATGGCAAAAGCCCCAAAGCTGTATCTTCATGATGAGACTAAAGCAGTTTCCTACAATTCTCAACTGATTAGTATCATTTTGTCTATATAATCTTACACTTATTATAGTGTTACCTGACAGTTGGCAGTTAAATGTATGAATAATTATTGTAGTACCGACTTTTGCATAAGACTTAAAAATAATAAGTATACTTTCCATTTTTAAGTATAAAGTTTTCCATTTTGAAAATACTTTTGTCTTTTGTTTCAGGTTATGCCAGGGTCTAGAGTGGATGACCTCCCGGATTGGTGTGAGATAACTTTTTGCTCGAAAGAGACTCTCTATTTATTCTGTGACATGAACATTTTTCCTAGTACCTTTGGCTGCTAAGGCAGCAGCATGTTTAATTTATAACAACACAAACCTCTGTGAGCAACACTTGAATCAAGTGCAGCTGAACTGGAACATAAAAGATTTTTTCTTAACTTTTTTTTTAATGCACTAATCTTCAGTTGGATGAACATAATGTATAACTATTTTCAGCAACAGAATTCTTCTGACTGCTTATTCTAATTATTCAACGACCGCCTTGTAGGAAATGTTTAACATGTTTAATGTTTTCTGAAGTATTGTAATAACTTTAATGATCAGTTTCTTTCATTTCTTGACTGTCCCCTCCCCCCACCAGATAATTACTGGCTTGACAGAGCAGTAGTGGAAATTATCAGGTACTGTTTGCAAACTTACCCAGCACTAAATATTTGCTCCCTCTGTAAACTACTTATCTTTTGGGCAGAACTTATTGTAAATGAGAAAGAAATATGCCTAGAAGATATATATTTAAGGGGGAGGATGAAACATCATGAGAACTGCCTTTAAATGAGTTAATTTCCCCCACATTATTGCAAGGCATGGAACAATTTTAAGTTTCTATTAGCATGGAAATTAAGTAGGCTATTTATCTAAAAGAATTAAGTTCACTTTTCTGCCTGCAGCACAGGATTAGTTTTGGTTAAAAACGAATCAAAATAAAATATTTATTTCAAAGCCCAACTTTGATAGTAAATATTTTGAATAAATCTGGTATTTTTAAGAATGTCACATTTATTCAATGCATATATAACAATTGGAAGTTACTAAAGCAAACCAGCACTAAAATTAAAACAAGACACTTGGAATATATTTTACTATCAATTGCAAACAACTTTATTATCAGCAAAAATTTCAACTATTCCATTTGCAAGGGGCACTGCACCTGCTTTGGGCAATAGTTAAAGCAGGAATACAGTTCATTTTATTTCTTAGAATTTGAAATTGTGTCTATTACAGCATTTCTATCACCAGCAGTATATTACTTAAAAAACCATATGGCTTTCCTTGAATTTGTTAGAGGTTGTAGTGTAATAGGCTTGAAACAACTGACATTTGTATAATTATGCCTCATGTTCTAAGATCTTTTGCTGGATAATAGGAAACTGCTGAATTTAATCATGGCTTTTAGAATATTACTATGAAACTCAAGTTTAATACACTAACAACTTAAAAATTTTTAAATAGTTAAAAACTCATAATCTATCAAAAGTATACTTATTGGATAGCATTAAAACATTTTCAAGGCAGTCGTCTAATATGAACAATAATCTAAATAGTGCATACCTTAAGAGGGAGGACAGGTATTGTAATTTTGATCCTCTTTATTTCAAATGTGTGATTTTGCTATTATGAAAGGGATAAAACACATACATAGAGAATAATACTTTATTTTTGCAGTATTTTTCTTTCATCTGGGTCAAAAATAGGATTCAGTGTTCATAAGAACATCAGTACCTGTTCAAAAGTGATACTTTAATTTTAATATTTTTTATCGTAAGTTGGTTTAAATTTTGCTGTTTTCAGTTATACTTGATTTATTATATTTGGTCTAATTAATTTAGTTGAATGTGGTAGCATTTTTCTGATTTCTGTTTAGTGGTAGCACACCCTGGAACTGGAAATGACCAGAGGAAAGCTTTCTGGGCTTTGGGAGGCACTTGTTCATTAACCTTGTTCTGAACCTTTTTCTTAGTGATTCTATACCAGGTAGAGGATAAATTTTGTTTTTAATACAATGCATAATCAAGAACATGAGAGAAAAGCAGACATGAATCAATATGGATGCTTTGTGTTGTGTATGTGGTGGTGGGGCAGGAGAAATTATGATAGCACACTTTGCCAGAATTTCTATCTTGGTTGTATAGTTCAGCCATGAATACTGAGGATAATTCTCTGAATTCTGTCCTGAGAAAAATCATATTTAATATTCCTGTATTCTTATTATGAAATCTTTCTTGTATCTAATAAGATTGGCTGGCTCCATTTTCTTCTGTCAAATTATATGGTTATTTTTTTATATTACCGCATCAGCATTATATTGAAAGTGTTAATAGTTGATTGTATTTTGTCAACTACTAGTATAAACTCAAGTTTTCAATTTGATTTTTAAAATACAATTTATTTTATTTTCTAAATCCTTTTTGAAAAACTGTTGTTTTGGGATTAGAAATAATTTATGTTAGCTGTGTGTTGAAGATGAAATCAACATCCAACTAGGTTTTGTGCCAACGATTGGGAAAAGTTCAATTAGGAAATTCATGTAAGACTTTTTAAAAAAGTATTTTACAGGTTCTCATTAGATATTTCCTCTTACAGTAATATGAAAACTGATTACCCTTTACTCCAAGAGAATGTTTTGACTCAAGCACGTACCTAGCACTAAAGCATTGATTCTGACATTTATTGAAAATCAACCAGCTATAAGATATTGTCTGATGAAAAATGTAAATTTGTGATGAGTGCCTTTATTCATATTTTGAGATAAGTTCTCAATTTTGTATTATATCTGTTCTTTAGAAGTCATATTAGCAGGTAATTAATTTAACAATGAAATAGTTCAGCTTTCACCCTCCCCAATCAATCCCTCAATTGCCTAGCGAAGTTTCTAAGTGGTGGAAAGCAGGGGATCCACCCATGTTACTTTCAGGAGATTATTCTACATTTTGTTTTTAATTTGAAGATAAAGAAACTAAATTTTAACAAACCTTTTGTTATAACTAAAATGTAACTGCTACCCTTGTAAGTTCAAGGCATTTTTCTTAATTTTGAACATGTTGCATTCGTCTTATTTAAACCCATCTTTCTTATTGAAGCCCATCTGAGAACTCTTTTAGAATTAATAAGCCCTTTTATATGGGAGCATACTGCATATTTTGTATTGTTAGTGTAATTTAATTCCTTAAAATTTGAAATAATATATCTATAATCTCTTGAATAACACGATTAAATACAAAGTTTTGCTTTTAGGTTCTTTGGTAGTATGCTTAAAGGTATAATTTTATTCTATATTCATTAGAGGAATGATAATAGATTGAAATTTCATTGTTAAAAATCATTTTTGAAATGGATGCTACTTCTGTAGCTGTAGTCATTTTGATTAAGCATAAATTAACTTTCATTACCTATAGCATAAAGAGAAAATAATTATTTTCCTATGGAAACAGTGAGTGATATAGGCAGTGCTGTAAACATTATTCTCTGAAGAGTTATGGGGAGTCACAAGGCAAAGAAAATTTTAAAACAATAATAGCTTTATTTTTTAAAAAATATTTTTGATGTAGTATCCTAGGACAAATTATAAATGGAATTGTCTCTGACTAGCACTCATTTAATTCTTAACTATGTAAAACAATACCAGTAGAAAAAATGTACTGGTATTATACCTAGAATAGATGAATTCCATTGACATTTATCTTTGAAAACCAACTTAATGAGCCTAACTTTTCATCTATGGCTTTGGATCCAAAACATTTCATATCTAGTTCCCTTCTAAAGGATCTTTTATATTTTGTCAGGGTAAAGTCACTTCAAGATACAGCATGATGACTTGTATCCAGTAGAATATTGTGCTGGCTGTCTAAAGAAGTAGGTTTGAATCTTAATTTGGCCGTGACCTGTTTTACCTTAGACAATTACTATCGTTCATGGCCTTCCTACTATTTTTCCCATACTGAGGAACTTAAACTAGAGCACCAACACATCCTTTGGCTTTAAAATCCTGAACCTTTATACACTACTACTAAAAACTAAAAAACAAACACAAAAAACAAAAAAACCCAACCAAATGAGGGAAAGACATGTAATATGAAATTACGTTTATTTTTATCTATTATTTGATTCCCACCTCATTATCATTTCATTTAGTATATGAATACAAATAAGAAAACAAAGCATCAACTAGTAACTGCTACTCCACTTAAATTGAGCTAATAGTTAATGACAATGCAAATAAGAAAATAAGCCATATTGCTAAGAAGATGCTATTTAATCTACTTATAAAACACCAGTGTATATTGGAAATACTCTCTTCTAGAAAATGTCTTGCTTGTTTTCCTGGCTTTTACTAACTGGATGCAAGTGGTTAGTTTGTTTAGAGTTTATTGGCTTTAGAGGCTGCCCCAAGCCCCAGTTCTGTTTGACTTTCCAGTACTGAAAAGGATAGTGCAGTGAGGATGTCAATATTTTACAAATGTCTGTATAAATCTGGAAGTAGTTTATATTCAAGGTTAGTTTTTTTCAGTAATGTCTCATCCTTATTCATTTAGCATTATTGTGAAGGCTGAAATCTAAAAGCCAGTTTCCCAAAAAGTATTTTTTAAGAGTTTCAGGTAACCAGAGCTAAATAGAGAAGGCCAATAAAAAAAGTCTTTTTTCAGCTACTTTGTTTTAAATTTAAAGTAGAAAAAATATTGTGTTCCGCAGACCTAAAATCAGCTTTAAATGTATAAGGTCTAGTGAAATGTTTGGGAAATGTTAATTGGAGATTTAGAGGCATACCTAGAAACAAAAGTCAAAGAACTTGAGAGTAAAGATTAATATGAGATAAAAAATCTTCAATAGAAAATTTGAATGAAAACACTGAATTGCCCCCATTCAAGGACTTAAAATTACTAGAAAATTCAGTCTTTTACTATAGAACTGGATGGCCTATATTATTTTTAATGTGACCAAAGGACTGAAGACTGATCAGGTTTCTAGAATTTGGGAGTGTAGTCAGAGAGTGGCACCTTTTGCATTTTTATAAACCAGTAATCTACCTTCTTCCCTAGAAATGCAGAAATAATAAAATGTGCTGTGCATATCTTTTGGAATAGAAAACAAAGTTCTAGAAGAATGGAAATGTTCTCTTGCACAAACTTGTAAAATTTTAATTAAAAAATTACCTCATTTTTCAGTCCATATATAAGGTGCTTTGCTCCAGTCTGTGGGATGTTGCACAGTCCCATA